TAGTCGGCCCGCAGCCATTCAGAACTGACGGGGCGAGAAGGGAGCGCTCCCTCTCTCCTCTCTCTCCCTCCCTCTCTCCCTCTCTCTCTCTCTCTCTCTCTCTCTCTCTCTCTCTCTCTCTCTCTCTCTCTCTCTCTCTCTCTCTCAATCCTCCCGATATCACCCCCAAGCGTTTCATAACACCCCCTAACCTGCCGCCGCGTGAAATCTGATGGCATAGAAAAATATCTAACGGTTGGCATGTAAAATACAGACAAAATTCTTTACAACGCTTGAGAAGAGTTTTCGATCACTGAACTGCGAAAAAATTTGTTCGTGTGGCGAAAAAACTAGTTTGCAGCCTTGCAAAGACCTAGTTTGCACCGAATGCTTCAAAATTTTTCGCACGAAATTCGCCAAGAAAGTTATTTGGAGTACGATCCTATATTCTTTGCACGCATTTCGCAGTGCGGGCCGCTGTCGGAGCGCGGTGGGTTGGCGTCTTTTGATATTATTATTACGAAAACAGCGGAATCCCGCATAGCAAAGTAGTGCGTATTTTTTTAACCCCCTCCAACCCTCCCGCCTCCCCACCCACCTCCCCTCACTCGGACGCAAAGAGGGCCGGCGTAGGGCATAGTCCAGCGGCACAAACTCGCCGAGGCAAATTCTCGCCAACCCCCTGCCCCCCCTTCCTTTTTCTACCCCCACCACCTCCCCCCGTTACCCCCTTCCCCGCGCCTTCTTGCTTCCTGCCTACACTTTGCAAATGAAGTAAGTAATTTAAGGGCGAGCTCCGCAGGGAGGGAGGCTGCACGGAGCCCAGGGGGCGGCGGTGCCCCCTTCCCCTCCTTCCAGTAGTCAGTCCGCCTGCACCACGCCAGTCCTCCGTTACCAGACCTGCCTCGCGGCGCGGTACTATTTTCCTACGGATATAAATCCTTATTATTCGTCTTTATAACCCAGAGAGAGAGAGAGAGAGAGAGAGAGAGAGAGAGAGAGAGAGAGAGAGAGAGAGAGATGGGACAGGCAGGCAAAACAGAGGGATGGATTGTATGGCGGAGTGGGGGCGAGGAGGGGGGTTGCAAGGAAATCTTTTAGGCTACGCAACCGCCACACTAAGGTGAGCGAGTGTGCGTGTGTGCGTGTGAGTGTGAGTGTGTGTGTGTGTGCGTGTGAGTGTGTACGTGTGTGTGTGTGTGTGAGTGTGTGTGTGTGGTTTACGAGATTGGCGGGGAAGACTATGAGGGGGAGGGGTAGAGGAGGGAGGCTTCTGCAACATAGTCAAGACAGTAAGGGGGGAGGGGGGGGGGAGATAATGGGGCATCCAGTGGCGAAGAGTAATGTGAGCGCGGGCGAGAGAGGGGGTGGGGGGAGGAGGGGGCGAAGACGATGCGGTGGAGTGCGCGGGATAGCTGTACGACCTACTAATCAACAAATTATTTGCTGCGGGGAACTCACCTTAAAATTTGTTTGACAGTGATTGGTTTGTTTGGCGTGTAGGGCACGGAGATCTTCTGGGCGCCCTGGAACAGACAAAGAAGAGAGAAATCTGATTTTAGTCAGTCGCAAAGATGGCAAAACACACGCCAGAGTCGGTTCTGCAGGTTCTCTAAAAATAAAAATAACGAAAATAAAAGTTGCCCGCCAATTTGGAAGTTGCTCGGACCCAGACGGGCTTTGAAGCATCGTTGCGCTGCTATGGCCTTGTTACGCATAGACGCTATACACACGCTGGAGAGCGTCTTAGGGATCATCCAGAAAGTGCGTCCTTCATTCACCGTTCTGAACCTCCCAAGTCTATCATTTGCAAGCTCTCATAGCGCCTAGTAGGTAGGCAACATCGTGCCTGCAGTGCATGAGAGTGCTGCGGGCTGGCCTACCCTGAATCTCACAGGCGCTGAGCTTCCGTAATTCCGCAATTTGCCGAATGAATCCAAGAAAAACGAACGTACTTTCTAGGCAGTCCCTTACGTAGAGTATTGTAAAGTACACTTATAAGCATATTTATTACACTGTTAAATTCCCACAAAGAAATGCTTTGCAGTATTTAAGATTCTTTGTAATTACAAAGCATTAAAATTTATACTTTGCAATTACAAAGTCATGCTTTGCAGCCTGTTCCATTGCTTCGTAACTGCAAATCACTATGTAATTGCAAAGTAAATGCTTTGCTGTGCATTGCTTTGCAGGAACTTAACAGTGCATGACTATCTGTATGTTGGAGTAGTAAATAAATCGAATGTTTTCGTGCGCGATCTTAAATTTCAAAAAGGAGTTTTGTAAATGTGGGCCTACGGTTTTTTCGTCAAAATAAACAAAGTCAAATTATAATGCATTTTATTTCGTAATTTTACAATTTAAAAATCGTCAACTGAACAACTTGGATTGGGAATTTTACAATGGTTTCGTAACTTACATCCGCCAAGGAAAATTTTCCCGTAACTCTTGTCTCGCACACTTTTCACAGTAGGTGTAGTGCAAGTGACAGACACCATATCACTGCCTTATTGAGAGATATATATTGTACGTTACGAGTGCCAAAACAGCCCAAACCCGCAGCATCACGGACAACGACATGGTTGCCACAAAATTTTCACTTCCATTTTCCCTGAGTTTTCCCTGATTTGCAGACCATTTCTCCCCGAATTTCCCTGAGTTTTAAGCACCGTTCCTGGTGAAGTACTGGGGCGAACTAATACCCCTAACTGTAATACAAAGACCGCGAGCGAAGCGAGCGCGAAAAATTTTGGGACAAAACACCCTACTGGGGCGTCAAATGTGTATTGGACCTAAACGGCGAATAGACTGCAGTTTGGGGACTAGTCAGACCAAATTTCCCTGACTTGTTTTCATTTTCCCTGAGTTTTCCCTGATTTCCCTGACAGTTTTTTAATTCCCTGAGTTTTCCAGGTTTTCAAGGTTTTCCAGAGTTGTGGCAACCATGAACGAGCTGTGTGGACTGTACGACGGGGCGCGCTGGCGCGCAGCAGCGTAAAGGCCGTCCCAAGAGCGAGCATATGGCCATAGCCACTCAGCGGGCGATAACATTTGGGAAGGCGGGCGGCGGCGCCGAGCCCTGGCGGAGCCTGGCGGAGCCTGGCGGAGCCACTCCGGGGCCGCAACAAGTACAGCGAGGCCAAGGACCCCCAGAGCGCCGACAGAGCGGCTCTGCTGTGCGCCATCGAGAGCATCGAGAGCGCCACGGCGGAGGAGAGAGTCGGGGCCTAAACCTTTATGTACAGTTCCAGGTGACACGAGCGGTCCGTTCGCGAACTGAGAAGAATGACGAGCATGAAAAAAATGGCTTTTGCAAAAAGACTACATTATAAAACCCTCCTTGAATTGGACGTAATTTGACACAGCCTGAGCGCGAACGTCGCTATAACCCAATTACTCTGCACAGTATGACCCGCGCACCAGATGCGGTTGCACGTTTGGTTATTGTGTGCTTTAATCGCCGCAGAGTGTTGTATACAACAACACTCTCCGTCTGAAGAGCGGTGCGTCGGCCCGCGGGGAAGTTTCCGTCACTTTCCGAACGTTTTATCACCGGCGAGGCGCTCGAAGGTGAGTTGATCTGATTAGCGCCACACACAAAACCGGCACTGGGCGGACTCCGGACCGAACGGAGCAGTCATCGCAGCGCACAGGTACTCGAGCTGTCGCGGCCGCTAGCTAGTCCCGCCCGCAACCCCCGAGCGGCCGGTCCAACTGTCCGCTCCGACAAGCACACCACCACCATGCGCCTGCTCTTGCTCGTGGTCGCCGCCGCGGCGGTGGCCGTCGCCGCCCTCGCCGACGGCGCCCTGGCCCTGGCCGAGGAGCCCGTCGTGGAGGCCGGCAGCTTCGCGCAGAGCCTGGACCACTTCAGCGCGATGGAGAGGAGGACGTGGACACAGGTAGGTGAATATACAGGCACCAGGGGGGGGGGGATACCACGGGTAGACCGTAAGCCGTGGGGACACCGGGGAGACACCATGGGGACACCATGGGCCTTGCCAGCGCCACACCACAGCATAGACCACAGGGACACCATGGGCACACTGTCCGAGTACCGACCATCCCCTTATGCCCTGCCTGCAGCACTACGTGAAGTCCGGGCCCTTCTCCGAGGCCGGCGGCGAGGCCGGCGGCGAGGCGGGCCCCGTGGTCATCCTGCTGGGCGGGCACGAGCCCGTCACGCCCCACACGCTCGCGGACAGCCACGCCCTGGAGATCGCGCAGCAGCTCAAGGGCGTCGCCTTCGCCCTGGAGCACCGCTTCTTCGGAGCCAGCATCCCGACAGAGTACGCAATGTTTCAATTTGTTTTCGTTTTTTTGGTGCGAAAAATTGGCGCGATCATACAAAAAACGACACGTGGAAGAACTCATACTTTTTTTTTGCGCAGGGACATGAAGTTGTCTAGCCTGCGGTACCTGAGCCAGGACCAGGCGCTGGCCGACGTGGCCTCCTTCATCGAGCACCTCCGCGCGACGGGCCAGGCGCCGCCCGCGTCCCGGGTCGTGCTGTACGGCGGCCTCCGCGCGGGGAACCTGGCCGCCTGGGCGCGCGTCAAGTACCCGCACCTGGTGCACGCCGCCGTGGCGTCCAGCGCGCCGCTGTGGGCGCGCGGCGCCTTCACCGAGTGGATGGACGTGGACATGGCGGTCCTGGAGAAGCGCGGCGGCGCCAAGTGCCGGCAGGACGTCCGCGCCGCCGTCGAGTACCTCGACAAGACGCTCGGCGACAAGGGAGGCGTCGCGGAAATCAAGGAACTCTTCGGGTAAAAAGGAATAAAAAAAGAAAAAAAAAACGAAGGAAGAAAAGGCCCGACCGGAAATTGTTTGAGGCGTTCACTTTGTCGGTTTTCGCAGCCTGTGCGCAGACTTCGGGGAGCAGCGGTGGGACGCGGACATGCTGTTCCAGCGGCTGACCGACTCCGTGTCGGGCGCGGTCGACATCGAAGAGACGCCCTACATGAACATGGTGCAGGAGGCGTGCTACATGCTCGACGTCTCGGACCAGCCCCGCGACAAGCTGCAGGCCATGGGCAGCATCGCCGGCTTCGGCATGAGCGACCAGGGCTGCGAGGACGTGGGCTACAAGAAGGGCATCGCCGCGGCGCTGGACGACCGCTGGGGAGGGGCCATCACCGCCTACAATGAGCAGCTCACCGGTGAGACGAGACAACGTGTATTGGCAATAGGAATTGTAAAGTCCAAAAACTTTCGGGGAAAATTAGAAACCTATCCAGAAAAAATGGGAAACATCAAATTATTTCCAGAGATTAAAAAAAACTGAAACTTCTCAAGAAAATATTAGGAGATTTTAACAAAATTTATTGCCAAATTTACCAGAAATACTTTATTCGGATAATTGAAATACCTAATTGGCTGTGTCAAACTGGCGGGACTTTCCAAAAATGCGAGGGGGAATTCACTAGGGTTCGTAGCGTACGGACTATTTCGTGGTATTTCTCCTACCATTTCGGTTATTTCTCCTGCCATTTCGGCTATTTCCCGCCTATTTCGGATTATTTCAGGCTATTTCGCGCTATTTCGGAGTATTTCAGGGGTATTTCGCGACTATTTCACCGACTATTTCGCGTCTATTTCGTCTTTATTTCGCTCTATTTCGCTCTATTTCGCCTCTATTTCGCCTTTATTTCGGACTATTTCGGGGGAAGGTGTACGAACTATTTCGCAAGTGATTTCCCCTCGCAAAAATGCAACTACATCGACGCAGGACGTGGGGGAGTGACTTTGACAAGCTCACTCCTGGCCACGGCATAACGCCCATCATGTCCTCGGCGATCCCTGCCCGCAGATCGCCTGCTGCTGTTCTTGTCGTGCTTCGAGTTCGGCCAGTTCCACGCCCTGTCTTCCGAATGGAGGAACCACTACCCCCTCGAGCTGTCTCTGCAGAAATGCAGCGACGTTTTTGGCAAAGAGTAAGTACTTCTTTTACTTTTTTCGTGCTTCACAATAACAAAGGGTTTGTTTGTGCCACACCACAAACAAAAAATCTCACAGAATGGGAATACAATCATCAGAGGTCACCATATATTTTTGCATCCGCTCTGCTAGGGGGTTCCGAGAGTGCTCCTGGGGCGGATTGTTTTGACAGGAAATCGGTCAGACGCAGGCCGGAAGGCCACCGGAAAGGGAGCGCGCGGTGGGGCGCGGGGTTCGGGGCGCAGGGCGCGGACAAGGCGTCGGAAGCTCGTACGTTTCTAGGCCGAATCCCGCCTGGACACGATTCGTCGATTAGATACACTGTACCGCTTCAAGTTTAGTTTGCCCCAGAAAAAAAATAATCTTGTTGTTGTTTTTTTGAAGGCGATTCACATGCAATGTCGGTCCGTTTTCCGACATTAAGTTACTCCGACGTCGGATCGATGAGTGATTTCTATGGCCAGGGGCGTGCCAGGTATGGCATGTGGTCTACACAGATCGATTGTAACCCCACCGGCGAGAAGCTCCAAAACGGTGCATGCATGTACACGGATTGTCATTTTTTTCAACGCGGTCCGACGTCTGTTATGTTTCTCGTCGTTTTGAAAGCCTGCCCGGGGGCCACTTAGAGGCGTTAGCTGTCCCCGCGGGGGGCGCGCGCCACCCGAGAGAGGGCCCGGAGAGGGGAGGGGAGGGAAG